TGATTTAGCAATTCCTCCAGGATTCGGTGCAAGCTTACAGCACAGAAAAAATCGTTATTAAAAAAGTTAAAATACAGACCTGGATTCAGTGCGTTGCCTTTTTTTGTTTGTTTGTATTTTTTTTCCTTTCCTTCTTATTTGTTTTATCTAGACCCAGCTCCACCCCGGCTCCTGGCATTTAACACGTTGCTTTCGGCAGTCACTCCAGGTTTTATGACTATTAATATCAGAAGGGGTCGGAGATAACGCCGCCTCCCCTCTTTGTTCCAGCTGCAGATGCAGGCGGTTCGGAGCCGAGCTCCAGGGCGCGGCTCCGGGCGGGGTCTGAAGCGCAGCCCAGGCCGGCAGCAGGGAGGGGGTGGAGAGGCACCCCTAGTTTGGCTGTTGATGTCGTCAGAATAAAAACATAACAATAAATAACAACTAGCACTGTTTTGCTGGAGCTAATTTATCTCTATCCTTCCCAGGGGATAAAATAATATGTTTATTTCAAAAAGACAGCCACGGGACTCAATGGCAACCTGCCTGGAGGGATCCTGCACGGCTCCGTCCTCCTCCCTTTGCCTGCAGAGGGGCCGGGGCAAACCGCACCGCCCGGGCCTTCACACCTCGCGTACATCACGGGGCGGACGGGAGCGCTGAGTGCCCCGGCGGGCCAGGGCAGGGTGGAAGGGACTCCCCAAGCAGCCGTCGGGAGGGGAAGCCCGGACAGGCTCATGTGCGGAGGCAGCGGGCAGGCCGGTGAAATTCCTTTTAATCGTTTCTTTGCCTTTTCTTCTTCTTTTTTTTTTTTTTTTTTTTTTCGCGCTGAGATAGCGAGGAGTGTACAGGCATTCTGGACCTATACAAACCCTCTTCAGTCCCCCTTGATAGGTTTAATGAGGCGGAACGCGATGAAGGGGATTTGAACCGGTCTAAATGATTGATGAAGCCTGGGGCAAGGCTGAGCTTTTTCCGGATAAAGCCCCATACATCCCCGTATAATGGCTGGATAGTGGCAGGGCTGGGCTCCTTCAAAAGCCGTGGCCCAAGCGCATTGAGAGGAAACAGGGAGGGAAGGTGCTCTGTTGTTACCTAATCAGCCTGTGCCCTGAGCCACCAGCCGCCTGAAGCAGGAGAGCCCTGCCGGGGACGTGAGGCGGGTGAAAGGGCCATTTCTGACACCCTCACACACACACGCGTGTACGCACCCTCATACCCGCGGAGCCCCGCCGGCTCGAGCCCACGCAGCTGCCTGCGAGCCAGCGTGGGGCCATAGCCGGCTCCACCCGCGGCGCGGCACAGCGAGGCTGGCAGCTCTCACTCACCCGCTGCCTCGTGGTGGTGGGCCCACAAGGGAGGAGTAGCGGGTCTGGCCTTCAAAGCAGAGGCCACCCGTCTGCCTTATAACCGGGCTTTGGTTGTGCCAGTCATAAGGTGATCCCTCTCTGTTGTGACTGCACACCTGTAATGCCTGCGACACACACAAACACACACAGAGATGTGTGGCAGGAGGAAAGTAAGCCGAGATCTGTGGATGTGACCACAGTAATAAAAAGCAGATTTAAATAAAGAGTGTTAAAATCTTCAACATCCCAAATGTTTTGGTGGGAGAGGGCCTATATATTCCATGTCATATTCCATGGGGTTGTGAGGTCCTCCAGGCTCCTCAACCGAGCCAGCCACTCTTTCTTTTGCTCGGAGAAACATAAAACAAGCCCAGCCCCTAGGGACGGTGAACACTGTGGCAGTCATCCATTTTGAAGGCCCCAGTAGGATGGTGTTGCTGATGGAAAGCCGCTGCAGCAGGCAGGGCATAAAACAGTCCCTGATTCTGATCTGCAAGGAGTGACAAGCGTCCTACTGTGGACGTGGTTAGATTTGTGTAAAACTTCCTCAGATTAAGCCTACCCCTTTAGCCTCCTCCCCCCCCCTTTTTTTTTTTTCCGTCAGGACTAAAATAACTTGTTTGAAGTAAACTAAAACTAGTGCTATGTAATGGCTAGATGGAAAAGCTCTTATTTTATAAAGACTATATGCAAACATATACCACTAGGCATAATAGTCTATGATTAAGAGACTTATTCAAATCCCATGGAGGTAAGCAATTCACTGATGAAAATGTGCAAGATGGTACTTCAAGTATATGTATATGGGAACAGACATTCTTTGCGCCCAAATGTTCTGTAAAATCAGTGATAGGAAAGAGTCCTGTGTAAAAATGGTTCCTCTTAAGGAGTGATGTTCTAAACCTGATCTGTGTCTTTCCCCTTAACAATCAAACATGGTCTGACTGCAAGGATAAGACCATTTTGAGACCCAGCAGCCAGCGTTCCTGGGATGGATAAAAGCATCCTCTACAATATCTTGTATTTTTCAGTATAACAAGGTGCTAGAAGCAATCTTTTCCCCTTTTATACTACTGCAAAGTGCACCATGAAAGAGGTGGTTTGAATTATTTGTAGAGAGATAGAATTCAGTAAAGCAGTAACAACAGGTTGTAGAGGAAAAAAGATGACTATTCATTTTTTCACTTCATCCCTTATCACTTCGGCTTTCATCATTCACCTTTGGGACCAACACCTCAATCCCAAATCAGATAAAACTCTCACTGCAGCCAGCAAAGCTAAAATCTTGTTCACCTTATGAAATCCCGCTGACTTCCAAGGAACTATTTACACTCACAGAGTGAGTGAATTTAAGGGAGACCAACATAGCAACCCTTACTGATGTGAATTGCACCCTCCTCATCAGCTGCCTTGGGGTAGGAACACTCACACTAATGGTTAGTAGCAAAGGTAAAATAAACCCCACTTAAACAGAATAACTCCACTAACTTTGTACCATGCAACATTTCCCGAATGCTGTGAAGTTAAGAAAGAACAACTTTATTAAGAAATGAGTATGAAGGGTGACTCATGATTATTGTTGTTTTGCACAAGCAGTAGTGCTTTGGGGAAAAAAAAGGACAAAAGAAATCAATGAGTTAAAATTATTAATACAGTGTAATTTGTCTCTGAAAAGTGAACAAAGACATTTGGGACAATGGAAAGAAAAACTGCCGGTTGTCTCTTCTTAGACAAGAACTCTATTACATATATCAATCTGTTTTTATCTCTGAATTATCTAGATTATATTATTAACGTTAACATTGCAGCATATTCTATCCTACTCTACATCCAAGGATCTCAAAGCAATTTACAAATATTAATGAATGAGCAGGGCATGAAAAAACACTGTTATTTTGTATTTACTTACTGGCCTCTTCCTAGAGATCTTAATGCATACAGATTTTTGCAGTTTGGCAACAATGTCAGGGTGAATATTATTTACCTAGCTTTTACATGAAAAAAAAAGATGTGCCGTGTGTACATGTGTACTTTGACTTGGAAACTGGGGCTCTCTAGTATTAAACAAAGATCAGAATCCAAATCTAATGACTGCTAGTCTGATTTCTTTCCAGCAAATCCCAGTCTTCTCTCCATCACTGCTACTACAAACCTGTCTCCTTCCTTGTGGCTAAGAAGACCAGCATTTGTTGGCTCCAAACAGAAGGAGCATCCAGTTGTCCCACCCTGTTCTGTAACAACTCTAGTTTCTGGGGTCTCCATAAAAAATGCTGCAGAGGCACTAACACCAAGGAATGGGTCAGCCAGGAAAGTTTATGAGCAATGCTACCCTCCCAACAATGCTAACTTGCAGTCCTGCATGGAATCCATGGTTAGGTTAACTACGTCAACTCACACAAGGTGTTTTTGTCTTGAGCACTTTCTTTTCTCTCCCAAATATGCAAGGTGGAACAGAAGAGGTTAAGAGAGCCCAGAAAGTTGGTGGCAATAACCAGCCAGTGGGGTTTCTGACAGTACAAAATCCATGTGAGCAGAGCTGCCAGAGTCACTGAGAACTCTGAAGGCCTGGAGCCTCCCAGCTCACATTTCTTTTTGAGGTTGATGGAAAATATATAGTTTTATCTAAAACTCCAAAGTCCAGCTTCTTCCTGGTACAGTAATTTTATGGGAACTTTTCATAAATTTCCTCCTTCAACAAGGATTTGACGTGAACAGAAGCACAGTAGGCTTCTTTGATATTTTCATTCAAAAGATATTCTCTTTCTCATCGGTAATAATAAAACTCCACAATGATATTAGGTCTTTTTCAGCTTATGTCAACAGAGACTCCTTTATACAACGGAGTTATCTGTGTGTGTGTGTAGCCAACATATTCTTCTGATGAAGTGCAGGGTCAAGTTACAAACTGCATTTAGCCTGTACTTGCCTGTTTAACAAGTACCACTTGCCTGTAAACTGGTGTTAGTTTAGAAAACTCAGACAAAAACTTCTAATTTCCTCCAAACATAGAATTTCCTCCATCAGAATCCAGCAGGCCATATGCCTGCATGGATAAATCCTGTGAGAGACATGTTTAATAACCAAAATTTTAGGATTTGAGGTAGAAATGGCTTCCCCTGTGAAAGTCGCCCATGTGCCTAGCTTTTCCTATATGAAGTCAAACGCATGATTCTCTTTTTTTTTAGTGGAGACTTATGCTAATGAGCTTTACAGAATGTGACCTTTATTCTAGAGTTTGCAGTTAGACCTCTTTTTCTGATTAATGTATCTTAAAGGTCTTGCCTTGGTGGATTCTCTGTCTCTCACAAACTGAATTCAAAATGATTTTTAAATAAGCCATGACAAACTTTAGCAGAAAAAATCTCTTACCCATTTCATAAGATTGCAAGCAATGTGTCACATGCTGTTTCACTGTCATTTTTTTTTTAGACTGTCATCTGGCTTCCCATATTAGGGAACACAATTGGGCAAATGCATGCACGCACACTAATATACAACTCAAAGAGCAGGACTGCATAAGAGTGAATTGCATTTACTCAAAAAGTCAGACAAAAAATCTCGTAGAGGTTTCCTGAATATTTCCCCTGGTAAATATGTGGAACATTTACATAAGTGCTTTAGGGGGTTGGGTTTGGTTTTTAATAGGAAAATACTGGCCTTCACAGGTGAAGTGTTCACCAAAAACTAAAGAATATAAAACCTTTACAATATTACAGATATTCAAAACAAAGAAGACAGGAACTTCTGCCAACATTTTCTAGGCTTGACACTGAAAGTGAGTTCTCTATACCATTCATGTGTTGATTGCACACTTGTGCATCTAAAGAGAAAGCGGCTTGTAATCAGAGATGCTGAGCTGTCACTGTTAGGTTTCTTACTATGGTCTTATTTGTGGAGGAAATGTTTAATATTTGATTAGAATTCCCAATTTTATTTAGTGTATTTTCTTTGTGAATAGAGGCTTTCTTCTCATCCAGCACTGCCATACACAGGCATTTGAAAGTGCCTCAGCCCTTTAGATAGCTCCAACAAGAGAAGCACAGCCAGTGAAACGAGCAACAAAGATTAGCAGCGCTGTGTCCCCGTTGGCTTTTGCAGAGTCTCCTCCAGTCAGTGATCAGTTATTATAACAGCACAACAAAGTGCAGAAGCTGCCTGCAGCTCCATTCAGCAGCTGGTTGCCCAGGCAGGCAGGCCAGCAGCCAGAAGCCAGCAGGCAAGATTTAACAGCCACGCTTCAAAATGCTGGTAACAGCTATCAATGGATCCATAACTCTCAGCTCTCCAGATATGGGGTCATCTTTCAATACTACCCCACTGTCATATACAACATTTGTCTTGTCCTGCATTCAACTAATTGTGTCAATCTATGGGGTGACTCTATAATACACATATACAATAGCACAATGAGAGCAATAAACTCCGACCCAGACTCTTTATTTATTTAAGTGCTATTACAAAGTTTCCTGCAGCAAAGAGAAGCTGGGAGGCTACAACCTATTCCAGCCATGAACAGCTATCCCAATGAAAGAAAGAAAGAATGTGGTGACTTAAATAAGTTACATGTTTATGCGTTTTTTTTTTCTATCCTGACACCACTACCAAATGGTATGGAGGGGGATGGGGAGCACACTTCACTAATATTTCAAAATGTGTAATACAAAAAGAAGCAGAAATCCCAATAAACAAAACTTGTGATTCCCAAGTAATTATTTTTTTCATTCTGATTTTTTTTTTTCTAAGGGAATATTCACAATTTATATTTATTATGAGTAAAATGCAAATACAAGACATATAGCTCGAAGCTTTCTCAGTTTAATTATTTTGTGGCTCTGGTTTTTGAAGTCATAATATCGTTATGTATCTTTAACATAAATAACTTCCATAGTAGCAAAATGACTCCTTCTTAGTTCAAAATTCTGTTCAGAGGTTTACCATGAAGTACTAGATATTGCTGTTCTCAGCATCACTGCGTTAGTTGCGCAAATGGCCACATTTGGCTAATGTTCATAAGCCTCATCATCAATCAGGGTTCATTCTTGCTTTTCTATCATCCCAACACACCCCCAGTTCTCGTTTTTACAAGTACTCACACCTCTCGAGTCCAGCCATAATTAGACATTTCAAGGGTCTCCTGCAGTGAATGCATTTCCTCCACTACCTGAACCAACCAGGAACATTTGGGGCTCTTTGCTGGAATCAGGGTGGCCCCCCAATCTCTGCAAGTTTCTGCAGGTCATTAAGAACTATCTGCTGACTATAAAATTCTTGCAGATACTACCATACCTTATTCTCATGTGTTTATTACAGTGTCTGATGGTTCTGCTAGCAGTGATGGAGCCCTTTCTGCTCAGGCTCTGTCCCAAGGCAGACATGGATAACTATCCTGAGATCATTGAACAGTCTGTATTTTACATTCTGTCCCAAATAATGTCCACCCTCCAAACAGTCCAGCCATATCTGGTTTCCACTGAGAGAGTGCAAACTGAAAAGTGAGATGGGGAAAAGTCTTCTCATACAGGCAGATGACTTGATGAGCCAGCAAGGTAAAGGTATGTAGCAGGAAGCTTGATACATGACAAAACACATAAAATAGTCCAGAATGGAAAGTTGTCTGATCAGCACACATTTGACTGATGTCATGAAAAATATCTTTTGAGGAGTTCTTAAAAAAAACCAACAATAACCATGACTAGAAAGAATCCTTTCAGTCTGATGAAAAGAGAAGTTCCCCTAATTATTTTCTGGAGAAGTAATGAAAAAAACCCAAAGGCTGGAATGGGCAAAAATTATAAATGCACATCTACAATACTGCATCACCACAACAATCAGCAGTACTGAAGGAAGAAGAATGTTAAGATATGCCCTTCTCCATACCCTGTAGATAACAAGAATTGGAAAGGGATTGCTCCATACTAGACATTCCTAGTCTGTCTTAGCCATCAGGCAGTGCCCCACACCTCTCTTGAAGACTGCAGCTCCAAATACCTGAAGTAGAAATACCTACAGACACTTGCGCCCATGCTGGAGCACCTTCTGCATGAGCATTGGGCAGGCTTCTGACAAAAGAAGGAGGGACCCTCAGAGGAAGATGCTGGCCAGCTCAGCAAAGTAGGCTCTGAGTGAGTGTTTGTGGGCATATGTTATTTACTAAACTGAGCTCTGCTTGCTTTGCTGCGGTGTTGTGAAAGTTTTCAAACTTAATTCTATTTCAAGAAAATAGCAGGGTCCTAAATGCTCTTGTCTGTAAAGGTTTGACTGTTGGAGATCTAATCACAGTGTGAACCTTTCCTCGGTGTTTCATAACCTGACTGAATAACGAAAGAGAATGTATGTGAATGTCATGAACAAACCAGTTCTGTCCTCTATTCTCCTACAGTTCTTAGTCTATGAAAGTTGGAACAAGCTTCCTGTGAGAAGTTCACAGGACACAAATAGTGACGAGATGAGAGCTACAGTGGTTGAATAGACAAGAAATAAGTTAGAGGATATCTATGTAAAGAGAGACAAAAGGCACTCAAAAACTTTAATATGATCAAACTTTCATATGGAGACCTGAGAGTATTTGCAGTGGAACATTTCTAAAGCAAACCCAAATGTTTTAAAGTAAATCCTCCAAACTCTCTTCTTCTTTGGGCAGATCTGTTCAAAGTGGCTGATGCTGGATTTTTAGGTTTTTAACACTGATGTTGATCAAAACCCCCAAAATGGTCTCAATGGTGTATTGGCCTGGTTCCCTATGGAAACTCCTATTTTCAGGAATGATAACATCCATGACTCTAATCTCCAGTATGATATAAACTAAGAGGACAATTTCACACAAGAATTGTCATTTGTGAAATCTTTCTTCCAATGAATATTTATAATGTTAAACAACCATAAAGTTGTGATATCAATAGCCTAGTAACAGGGTTAAGAAACTAAAAAATGTAAGTATTGAGTGACATTTTAGCTCATATCCCTACCTGAGGAAAATTTGCCCTAGAGGAAAGGAGTGAGGATTTCAGAATGTATCCCATCACTGCCCCTTCCATTTTCTTGCATGTCAGTGCTTACTCCAATTCTCAGCACAGGGAAGAGGTGGAAGGTGTGATAGATGTGAGCATGGCAGTGATGGAGACAGCATGTTTGTTACAGAATGTAATTTAAAGTACATGATAACTGCAGATCTCACACGGGGCCAGACCATACACGAATTACACGTGCACAGACAGAAGTTCTAATTGTAATAGCTACAAAGAGCAGGCTCTGAGTCACCGGGAAGTGAGCTGGTTTCTGTAGATGACTCCTTTCAGAAAGTAAATGCATCTCCTAAAAGACAATCTTCAGGAAACAACTTGATAGATAGACAGACAGACAGACAGACAGACAGACAGATAGATCGATAGATAGATAGATAGATAGATAGATAGATAGATAGATAGATAGATAGATAGATAGATAGATAGATAGATAGATACACACACACGGCAGCTCTCTGCACAAATGCAGTTGCTTGAAACAGGCAGGATTTTCAGCAATGCTGTAGTATTTGTATATCTACACAGTCACTATCTATTCCATATACACAAACATCCGCCTACCCAGAAAATAATTGTGGATAATTCAATGTTCAGATTCGATAATGGATGCTCAAATAAATATGAGAATTCCAAGCAAATTTGTGCAAATGAAAAAAGATTTCCTCTGACATAATGGCATGGTGCAAGGCTGTCTGTAATGAGCTGTAATTTGTCTGGAAGAGCATTTTAAAGGGGTTGATCCATCCATTGGAAGACCAGCAACTGCTCTGAGACTAGAAGCAATGAGCCAGCCTGCCTCGTCTCAGAGGAAATTACACCACAAGCAGGCCAAATTTCTGACAACTTCCATAAATTATTTCAGATTTTCATATTTCAAATTTCATCTGCATTCATCATGTGAGTTTGACTGGGGAAAAATGTCTAGGAGGAGATCTGCTAGCATTCAGTGCAGCAGTCCCAGGAGCCTGCCCTGGGACTAGATAATTGAATTTAGTTTTGATTAGATTATTCTTGCTGCAGTCTACTGCCAATCTGAAGTATTGTGCCTTCTCTTCTACTTAACCTTCCTGCCCCATGCCTGCTCCAGCCTGCATGCAGCTCTCTGTATTGCAGAATATATTTGAACAATCAAACTTAGGAGTTATTATTTTGCTTTCCATTGTCCATCCTTATAAAAGCACACATCTTTCACTGGGTTCCCTCTTCCCTGAAATCAGATTACTTCTTTTTTTAAAGTTTGTAATATTGTTTACCATTTTCAGTGGAAAGTGCCCTGTAATTTAGGTGGAAAATCTAAAATCATTACTGCATCTCTGGATGATGCAACATACCATAAATAAGGATCATTTCTAAAACAGCTATAATCATCACCGGGCAACACACAGAAGAATAAGAACAGGTAAATAATGAATTCATCCCTCTATTTAACTAAAAATCTATTGTTAGCCAAAGTTATTAATCAAATCTTTAGTTAGTGGTCAGTAAGAAAAAAAACAACCCTCCTCCCCACTCCCCCCCCCTCCAACTAGTCTTTCTCCACAGTCTTTCTCTGAAAGGAATCCATTAGAAATGCAGAATATGAACTTTTAGCAAAACAGATCAACTCCATAAAGTCCCCCACCCATATGAAAGAAATGTGGCAGAACAACAAAATGCCTTCATGTGAAATCCATCTAAATGTATATAATGCTATTACCAGCAATAATAATATGCAATAAATACTTCTTAATGTATACGCATTATTTTTCCCCACTTACAAAATGTGACTGAATTTATACATGTTTCAGGAACAAAATATGTGTAACTCTCCAAGTTGTAGTCTGGATTATTAGAAACTCAGATAAGGTAAACAAAGCTAATGCTGTTCTTTAAGTAATATCTATCACTTCCCTGTTATTGAGTTATTTCTTTTAACAGTATAGGGGTTTTTGATGCTATGTGTCTGAACTGAAGACTTTAGATTCTTTATTGTTCTCCATTTTGATGAAAAAAATTGAATTGGTGGCTGTTATATTGAGTTTTGTTCCGTAAATATACTGAAATCATATTTTTGTTAGAAACTATCAATAAATCCAGTATAAGAAAAGTAATAAGATACAAATATGAGCAGGACCTTTGCAAAGGAAATTTACAAAGAGAGTGTGCCTATAAAATATATTAGGGAATGTGCTTTCTCCCTTGTGTTTGAAGAAAATACAGAAGGAATTACAGGGAGCTGTGTTATTTTTAATACAGATACAATACATGAAATCAGATGACTAACTGCTGGGGATAATGCTCAAGAAAATGATCAAGCATGAACTGATAATTTGTAGGTTGTCTTAAAAGCCTCTCACTTATCTGATTGAAAGTTTGTTTCTCATTAACACAATTAAACAACACAAGGCATCTTGCTTCAAAAAATGACTGTATGTGTACGCATGCAGCTGTACACACCCTCAACCTGTATGCATGGAGTGATATATGTAAATAGATATGTGCACATACATGCAGTTATTTTGTGCGCATATATACTCACACATGCACAGGTGGGTCTGTATTTTTTGTGTGATTTCTGTTAATCTGAGAAAGGAATCACCAACAACAAGATCTGGGTTAAATAATTGCTGATGAGAGGAAGGAAAAATTAGACACAGCAAATGAAGCGTGGAATCTCCCATGAGGTGCAGTTAAAGGTAGAAAAGAAAATAGTTGTGTACTTTCTGCCTATGAGTCCCACCTCACAGACCTAATATGCTGCATTTTCATAGTAGTAGCTCTGCTAGAAATAAGGATTTGGGTATGCAAGAAAGGGCCTACAGACTCTAGTGTACAGCTGCAATGGGTACAAGAAACCCAGAAATGCTCCCCAAAAATGTATGCATTTCTTGCCATTTACTGAGCAATCTCCAGGGTGGTACAGGGGTGGAATTCTTCTGACATCATCAGGTTTTGTCTAGATTTTATTAAAAACCAATTTACATTCAGCAATGGGAGCTGTCTTAAAGACCTATTGTTTTCCCTTGTTTCAAGCAGCATCAATGGCTCATTCCTGCTATTACTGAACTTAACAACCTCGGGCTCCAGCATTGTATGGCTGGTTCAGGGCTGTGAAGAATGTGCGAGGCGGCTTTCAGAGATCTGCACCTGATGTGGAGACCACATGAGGCAGCATCAGGACTCACTTATTTCAGACACCCCATGACAAGGTCTTCATGCAACTGTTGCCGTGTTACTGTTATTTATGTTTTTCTTACACACACTGTACACATGAGCCTTATGCCATGGACAGTGTTCCTTGCTTTGCAGTGGATAAAAAAGTCTCTGTTTTCCTTGAAACAAATATTCAGAAGTAATGTTAACTTCATAATTTTAAGTATGTGACAAATAGTGTATCTGAAGTATAATTTGTACTTCATTTGAAATGCTGATGAGAATATATATTCTGATTTAGAACTGCACCAAATTAAACCATTTCTGTAATGCAAAAGAATATTATAGTAAGTATATTTAACTAAGAAGAGTAGACATGACTATGTTAAGTTATTTATAACATATATGTATTAAAATTAACAGAAACTGCTTATGGTTTACAGCATGTGTACAATTTCAATCACTATTAATTGTTACAGGCTTGATTCATGCCCAGCTGCTGATAAGGGACATTCTCGCCTCCCCTCTCTGC